CACAAGTTTGATCACCCGTCAAAAATTATTGGAGCCTGGATGGGATGTGTTGCCACACCCACCATACTTGCCTGACCTTGTGCCGTCAGACTTCCACTTGTCTCACTCTCTTCAAAACTCTTGCGTGGTATAACGTTCAATTCAGATGAGGCTGTAAATCAGCACCTTGTTCAGTTTTTCGCAAATAAAAACAGGTCCTTCTATGAACGAGGAATTACAAAACTCACTGGAAGATGGCAAAAGGTTATTAAACTAAACGGGCACTATATCATTGATTGGTCTTTGTTCTTTATATAAATAAATGACCTTTGAAAAACAAAGACAAAATACATCATGATTTTTCCGACAACCCAATAAAAAAACAAAACAAACAAACAAAAATAAATAAAACTCATTGATACAGAGAACAGAGTGCTGGTTGCAGGGGGATGAGAGAGGTGGCGGGGGAAGAGGGTGGGAGGTACAGACTCGCAGTTGTGAAATGAATAGGTCCTGGGAATGTTGGGTGCAACTTGTTGACTACAGTCAACGGTATTGTGATGCATCTTTGAAGGTTGCTGCGAGAGTACATATGGGTTGTTCTAATCACAAGAAAAAAAAATATTTTTTTAACTTTTTATGACGATGCATGGAGACTAGATTTATTGTAGTGATCGTTTCACAGTGTACAAAAGTGTTGAATCATTACTCTGTACACCTGAAACTAATATAATGTTACATGCCAATTATAACTCAATAAAAAAATTTTTAATGAAAAAATATGAATAAACATGAATCTTGTGCAGGGGGAAGGAAAGCACCAAAAAGTCAAAATACAGTAAGTCCTCCCTTGTTGATAGGTTCTTGGAAACTGCAACTTTAAGTGCAACGGTGTATAATGAAACCAATTTTTCCATAGGCTAATTAATATAAAAAAAGAGTTAAGTTATTACGGCATTTTTCTGGTCACAAAAACATCACCAAACATCTAAATAAAGACCCAAAACACTTTGAATATCAAACACTGAAATAAATGTGAGCCACACATACATTTAAGAAAGATTAATAAAAACAAGTGAGATGATTATTTTCTAACCCGATTATTCCAGTTGAGAGTCTCAAGTGCCCTGAGCCTATCCGGGCAGCACAGGATTCAAGGCGGGAGCTCAACCACCCTGGACAGGGCACTTACACACATCCACACTCACTTGGACTGGGACAATTTAGATCCGCCTGTGTGCTTCCTTGGGAGGTGGGAGGAGACTGGAGTACCACGTAGACATGGGAGAATGTGAAAACTGCACACAGGCAGCGGCCCCAGTGTGCAGGGACCTGGTTGTTTTTATTTCTCATCAACATTATAATGAAACAGTGTTATTCAAGGACCTGCTATAACCAGAAAGTCAGAGTTGAAGTTGGACCCAAGTCACCAAAGATACTAATAAAATTAGAAAATATTATTATAGCTTTACAAGCAAAAAGCACCAACATCCCAGTACCAGCCAGCTCAGTCATTGATTTATCCATTTACTAATCAGAAAGTAATTTAGCTACTAAAATGTGCCATGCTTTATGCCAAGACCAAGAATACAAAGGTAAATAAATGAACAACTGGATGTCAAGGAGCACACAGGCTAGTGTGGAATCAAAACATGGAAGCAGGTAATCAATGTGTGCTCTAATGAGCTATGTTCAGTGTACCATAGGGACACTCAGGACAGAGCAACCAAAATGGGGGTGAGGGGTACAAATTTTAAAACTCACTTGAACAATTAAGTAATTGAAGTTGAAATTTGTGTTTCCGTAAATTATTAGCTGCTTCTAGGTCCTCCCACTGGGAAGGTTTCAATCCTCACATGATTTATTGGTTCTGCCTGTGGTTGGAGAAAGTTACTAGATTATCTCTCTGATTCTCATCTATAAACAAGGTAACACTATGTCCTTTTGCCACTGGTTGTGAGAATTACCTGCAGCAAGGTACATAAAAGCATATACAAATATGCTTGAAACATAGAAGGCGAAGGAGGATTGCTACTTATTTGTGAACTACCATACGCACACAATGAATATTATTTGGAAGTCGGTATAGCGATATGGTTAGAGCAGGACTTGGAATCACCCAAACACAAGTCTGACTGAATTCTGTTCCTACCACTTGCAAACGGTGCAACCATTTACTAGGCACATTTCCCCTTTCTGAACCTTGATTTCCAGCAGTCGGACAGGAGAAATAAAAATAACTCCATTGCATAGTTTTGAACATTTAAAAAGACAATGGTAATAATGCAACAGCAGCATGTCTGAGAAGCCATAAACCATTAGTTTTAATTGCTGCCATTCATTATGTCCTTCACGGGCATGACAATAGAGATACAGAAACATGATGAGGATTGTCAGAGTTCACACGGTTAGTGTTATTGCAATTACCCTAGCTCCTCATTCACTGTTTCAGACCCAATTTGCCTGCACCCCTTAACTACAGGACAAGAGCACCTCCCTTGACACTTACTCCTAATGGCTCCCAATCCAGGTAGGAAGCCCATCGGGAGCCTCCAAAGCACCACTTGGGGACTGAGGACTAGTGGCCCCGCCTTAGCACTAACGAACAGTGCACTAGCACCCTCGTCTGTGGCTGAAGTGTGTCCCCCAGAATTCATATGTTGAAGCCCTAACACGCAATGGGACCATGTTTGGAGACAGAGTCTATAAAGAGGTGATTAAGGTGAAATGAGGTAAAAAAAGTAAGGCCTTTATCTGATCAAATTTGTGTCCTTATAAGGAAAGATACCACAAAGCACACTAAAGGGCTCTCTTCCCCATTTATTTTGCCAGTAGACATTCATTTATCGACATCTCTGCCAACGTACTCAAGGATGAGGCAGACAGGCTCCCTGCCCTCCAGGGGCTTTCAGTTGAGCATGACTTTCCTGTTTGGCTGCCCATTTCCCCTGCTGGGCCTGAAGCACTGTCCAAACCTCAGCCTGGCTAGCAGGAGTCCTGGCATGCCTACCCTGGCCAGCTCCCTCATTTCCCAGATTCTATTCCCCAGTTACAGACTCCAAAAGGTCTGAACAGCCCGAACTTTAAAACCAACCACCATATGACATAAAGTATTAATACCCTGTGAAGTTATACCCACTCATCAACTGACATCCCTTATCACACGCCTATTTTTGTCCAGGTATGAACACGTGTTCCAGTCTAGTCCAGGTTGGCTTTGGGTGTTAAACATTGGACGCCACCTAATCCCACTGAAGGCCACCCGTACAGCCACCTCAATTCCCTCAGTCTCCTATATCCCAAGGATGCCGTCTGCTTTAGTAGAAAAGTTCTAATATTGACTCTACCACTTAATAGTGAACAAGGATCTGAATTTCAGTTTTCCCATCTATAAAGCAGGAACAGCTATACAAATAGGTCTGTGAGGGCGAAATAAGATAATGCAGAAAATCAATCATCTACTAAAAGACCTGGGAAGTAGATGATGACAAATGATTTGCTGCTTTGCTTCTTCCTCTCTTCCCCTGGTCCCAAGCTCCTCCCCCACTTCTCTACCAGCTCAGATCCTGAGATAGTTTCAACTAAGCCACAGAAATCCCAAAAGGGCTCTTTCTACAGACTACCCTGGCTCTGTTCTTTTCTCAAGATTTATCTATTAGGAGTTGAACAGACCACCGAAATCAAGGTATGTTGTCTAAAACACAGCAATATCAGTATAGATACCACGTGGATCTTCTATGTTTCTATCCCATACTCTTGAACTCTGACAGAGTTTGTGATGAGGATTCCACCAGAGAAAGGTAGAACTGAAATAACCTACTATGTGACCCAGTTATCTAGGGTGGCCCAAAGTTGTAGCAGACACTACTAGCTGTTCACTAATATTTAAAGCAAAAATCCCAAGTTTTAGCTAGTCATATGGATGGACGCATGGCTGCCCAGCCCAACGACTACATTTCCCAGCCACCTTTGCAGCCTAGTGGGGCCTTATGAACACTGCTGGTCAATGGGATGTGATTAGAAAGAACATGGCCCATTTCCGTGTTATGCTCCCTCCAAAAGAATGTGGATGGATTTCTCGGGTCTTTTTCATTTTTTCTCCTCACTGGCTGGGAACTAATGAGAACTGGAGTACCTAAGTTGGACCCAAAGTTGGAGGCCATGTTATGAGAATGGCAGAGCTGCCCTGATAGTCACTTATCTCTATCACATAAAAAAATAACCCTCTATCTTATTTAATCCACTATAGTTTTAAATTTTGTTGTTACAACTTCCTAGCCGAAACACTGTTTAACAATAACGAAGTATTTCTATTTAATCAGGTATAACTGCTTATCTGATGACAGCTTACTGGAATTGTAAGTAGTAACTACAGGAAATAAGTATCTCTGTGAAATGAACAGGCAAATCTTAAACTTTAAAATGTCAGCTGCTCTTATATGTACCTAGATGTACCTAGTACCTGAATTCTGTTCACCAGGTACACCCCTGCTAGTCGCCCACACCTTTACTACCTAGTCAGTGCCACATAAACCTGGAAATCTGAGACCCTATGGCCTTAGTCATAAACCACTGGCATTTGTTCCAGTTTCGGTCTTGTTCCTGATTTTCCTTATTTTGATCTCTTCAATTATTTTTTTTTTCTGTTCATGACCTTGCCTGATTCCTTGACTCTAACTCAAATAACATTTTCCTTGTCCTGACTAAAAATGATCCATACACACCCTCTTGATTATGCTATTCCTAATTGTTCTATACACATGTATTCTCAGTCTAGCCCAATGTCTAAGATTCCGTATATCAGTGCAGAGTTTCATAGCCTGTACCCCTACTCAGTCCCTATAAGACTCACCACGAGGCCTACTAGTCATGGCCTGCCTATCATAACTTACTCATTTCTCTTGTTAAAACAGGGCTGGGTTCCTGCATTTTAATTCATAGAAAAAAAGAGAAAAAAACCACCAGGATCCTTATATATGCATACACAGAATCGCTCTCCCAGATTTATTTTCTTTTTTTACCTATTTTGCTGTAATTATCTGCAACGAAGTCTTCCAATCCAATCATCTTCCAGAAACTGTCGTCCCATCCTTTCTCTGCTGAGTATGTCCATTTGCACACCAGGGAGCAGAGAGACCTACAAAAATGGGAGAGAGTAGAACCAATAATATAAGCTAGGCTTCCTTTATGTTTTGCCAAATGCCTACCCAGATATCTGCAGTAGTATTGAAAGAGGAGAATAAGCCATACTAGGTAATTATACATCCCTGTTTGGATGAAAAGTCCCCATTTATACCTGTTAATGATTGAGAGTACCTCTTTCACCTTCAAAGGAATCTCAGTCCTTTATCTAGCTCCTGATCAAGCAGTGTGTATAAATATTTGTACTTATGTCTATATATTTACATGACATTTGTGAGATAATTAGAAATTACATACAACACTAAGTTATTTAATGATACTGAACATGATTACTAAATTTTAGGTATGATAATATTGGTAATTGTGGTTATATTTCAAAAAAGACTTCTTATCATTTAGGTTACATGCTGAACTATTTATGTATAAAATAAATATAATATCTGGGATTAGTGAATGGCATTATGGATGGGGCAGGATTGGCCATGGGTTGGTGGTTGTGAGGTTGAGTGATGGGTAAATGGCATTCGTTATATTATTCTGTTTTGTACATGTTCAGAATTTTCTATAAAGAAGTTTTTTAAAAAGTGCCTGGTGTGTGTGTGTGTGTGTGTGTGTGTGTGTGTGT